ATAAGATGACCGAAGATTTTCAGTCTAGTTGCTCTGGATTTCTTAGTTTCTTGCTGCTGCTGTAATCAGAATCCTGCAAGTAGATGGCTTTAACATTTATTTTCTCAGTTTAGGAGGCTGCGTGTCCGAATGCAGGGTGCTGGCACGTGTCTGAATGCAGGGTGCTGGTACGTGTCCGAATGCAGGGTGCTGGCTCTAGGGCTTGGTGTTCTCTCTTTGTCATCTCTGGGAAAAACTTGTCTCTTTTCCATTTCTGTTCTTCAGTTCCTTGGCAGTCTTCATGTGGCTTGTATCTTTCCCTCTGTTTGTGCTTGCTTAATTGCTTATGTGCCTAATCTATTCCCTTTATGTCTCAAAAATCAGTGGTTTAAGACAGACTCTATGTTGGTTGATACAGCCTCATTAACATACAAACAAAACCCTGTTTACGAATGGGATTGCATCCACATGTATACCAGAACCATACTCACTGCCATCAAGTCTGTTCTGACTCATAGCGACCCCCTCTGGATTTCTGAGGCTGTAAATCTTTATGGAAACAGATTCTCTCATCTGTGGAACAGCTGGTGGGTTTGAACCATTGACCTTCTGGTTAGCAGGCAAATTTAACCAGTGTACCACCAGAGCTCCTTTTATACATGTATATAACCAAAAAACCAAACTCATTGCTCTTGAGTTGATTTGACTCCATAGCAACCCCTCCTTGGGTTTCCAAGGCAGTATCTCTACAGAAGTAGATTGCCCAATCTTCCTTCCATGGCATGGCTGGTAGGTTTGAACCTCCATCCTTCTGGTTAACAGTCAAATGCCTGAAGCACTGTGCCACCAGAGCTCCGTGGCGTTAGGATTTACAACACATATTTTGAGGGAAGACACAATTCAGTCTATATCACTGAGTTTTAAAATGTTACCTCTATTTAAATTACATTTCAGTGACTACTTCTTTACTTAACTTACAGGTGTCCTTGAAAATTTACATGCTGCAGCTTTCCGGAATGCCCTGGCTAATTCTTTATATTGTCCTGATTATAGGATTGGAAAAATAACAACAGAGGAGGTATTGATAAAACATGTTACAGTTTAAAATGTACTTGTTTTCTTATGAAATTGAATGTTCTGCCATTTCAGGTTTCTCGGCTAATTTTCTTTTGTTTTCTAATAGAACTTCAGCTTCCTTGCCTTTTAATTAAAATTCTGCCTTAACAATTTTTGTATAATTTTTAACTGTGAAAAATTATTATAAAAAGAACATGCACATTACATAAAAGTCAGAAAATATACACAAGCAAAATGAAGAAAACACCTTGAGGCACTCAATGTTAAGATCCTTGGTATAGTTTCTTCTGTCCCTTTTTTCTGTGTATCTTTTATCAGCAAAATTTATATGTTTAAATATCATAATAAATCCTTCAACTAAAAATCTTTCTGTTTTAGTCCCTCTGAATACTTAGGATAAGAATAAACCCTACTTCATTGCCCCATCCCGTCATCTGCCATTTCACTAACTCATTCACCTTCTCCAGGACGTGGACTTGCTTTGCTGGAGGCAGATTTGTCACATGTCACAGCTCTATGTACAACATAGGACTGTTCCAGAACGTGAAGCATTGAATATTAACCCTATTCCTATTACCCCCAAATGAAATTTATTAAGTAATAGTATAAACCAGTGATCTGAGGATCCCACTGATCCCCAGATCCCTCGGCTGGTTGGTTGAGTGGTTTTAAATCAAGATTTCAAGATTCCACATTGGATCTACTAAGTCAATATGTAGAGTGGAACTCAGGAATTAGGGGAAGGTGGGATCCACAGTATGTGTGTATTTTTGTTTGTTAAACTCCACAGGTAATTCTGTAATCAGGTTGGGAACATGGTTATAGATTGTGACCTCATGGCAAGGTGAGCTTTATAGAAATTGGTTTTAAGAGAGGGGTATAATGCTATAACCTTTTTAACCCTACTATAGAATGCTAATAGTGCTTTCTTACTACTTATGTAAAGACAGACAAACGAAATGTACTGCTCAAATTACATTGTAGTAAAAGTCAGACCATTTAGAACCCCAGTTTTCTCAATTTCAAGCTAGTTCCAGTTCCAGTTCTTTTAATAACAGCTTTGTTAGGTGCCATTGAGTCGGCTCTGACTCATAGCGACCCTGTGTACAACACAACGAAACGCTGCCCAGTCACGCGCCATGCTCACAATCCTTGCTGTACTTGAGCCCATCACTGTAGCCACTGTGTCAGTCTATCTTGTGGAGGGTCTTCCTCTTTTTTGTCTAGCTATAAGTCACATACTGTGCAGTTCATTAAATTATACAATTTAATAATTTTTAGATTAATGCAGTTGTGTACTATCTGACAATCCAGATCTAGTCTTTGAAGCAATAGTTTTTACAATAAAATTACAATGTAATTCAGCACTAGGTAGTCCCTATAATGGCTCATTATAGCAAGACAAATAAATCTGTCTTGGAGGAAGTACAGCCAGAGTGCTCCTTAGAAGCAAGGATGATGTGACTTTGTCACATGTACTTTGGACATGTTATCAGGAGGGAGCAGTCTCTGGAAAAGGACATCATGCTTGATAAAGTAGGTCAGCGAACAAAAGGAATAACCGCAGCCAGGTGGGTGCCACAGTGGCTGTGGCAGTGTGGCCCAGGCGTAGTCACTCTTGTGAGGGTGGCACAGTGTTGCGTTGTGTTGCATGTGGATGCTGAGCCAAGACCAACTCGACAGCACCTGGCCATACCATGGCAGCTCTAAGCCTTAGTGTTTCTTTTTGGCCTAACTGTACTTTTAAGTTTTGATCAATTTTTTATTTATACCAAAATAACCTAATAAATGTTTTTAACTTCCTCAGTTGCATTACTATGTTCAGAACCATTTTACAAGTGCAAGAATGGCTTTGATTGGACTTGGTAAGTTGGAAATTGCCTGTCTTATCACCTTGCTTCTTTAGTAGCAGTCCCTTAAACTATGATTATGTAGACACAGAATTGAACAAGATTTGAAAACTTACTCCTCTTACACATGTCATACAGGCAGTGCGTGATAGGATTTTGTTTAATTGCTAGTCTTACTTTGTTTTGGAAAGCACAATCCAATATATTTAACTTTATAAATTACTTGTTTCAAATTCTTTCAGAAATTCTCCTGGTATAGTGGTTAAGGCATTTGCCTGCTAACCAAGAGATTGCTGGTTTGAACCCACCAGCTTCTCTGTGGAACAAAGATGAGGCAATCTTCTTCTGTAAAGGTTTACAGCCTTTGAAACCCGATGAGGGTTGCTGTAAGTCGGAATTGACTCGATGGCAGTGAGGTTTAAGGTTTGGTTAAAGTGTTGACAATATTTGCAAAATCTATGATAAAGGGCCACTTTTTCTAAGCAAAGAGCTCTCATAAATCTTTTTTTTTTTTTAAGAATATCTTAATAGCAAAACAGGCAAAAGATGTAAACAGGAAATTTATTTATGTACATAATGTGTGTATATGTGTTTGTACACACACATGTATATGTATATTTGTTGGCTATTATGTATCTTCTTTGGAGAAAGGTCTCCTTTTGCCTCTTTAGAGGGATTGTTGCATATTTTTATTGACGACTTCTAAGAGTTCTTTATATATTCTGGATACTAGACCTTTATCATATTTACAAATAATTTTTTCCCATTCTATGGGTTATTTTTTCACTCTGTTGGTGTAGTGTCTTTTGATGTATAATGCATATTATTACCAAAATATTGGGAATATGTGAATGGTGGCCAAGAAAGAACTGATTGATTAATAGTACATGAATGTAATGAAATTGTTTATAACTATTAAATGTTTGATGTGGACCATTGAAAGATATAAAAGATGAGTTAAAAGCACTATTAACAGAGTACCACCATTTAAAAAATAAAGGTAATTAATAACATGCATAGAAAAATTCTAGAGGAACATAAACTGTAACAAGTTATCTAGAGCAGCATTGTGGAGAGGACTCATTTCTTCACTGTTTTGTTTCTATAATGTTTAAATTTTGTAACAGATTTTTAAAAGGAAAAACGGTAGATGTTGTGTAATGGTGTTTTGGAAATTCTGTTCTAGCTTGTTTGTTTCTGTTGAAATAGGTGTGAGTCATCCTATTCTAAAACAAGTTGCCGAGCAGTTTCTCAACATGAGAGGTGGGCTGGGTTTATCTGGTGCAAAGACCATATACCGTGGAGGTAAGCATTTTGTTCTTTGGGGCTAATTTTTCTTAGGAAGTCTCTACCCTCAGATGTTGTTCTTCTTGTTATGTGCCGTCGAGTCAAACCCGACTCATAGCGACCCCTCCTTGGGTTTCCAAGGCAGTATCACTACGGAAGTAGGATTGCCCAACCTTCCTTCCGGGGAGTGGCTGGTGGGTTTGAACCACCAGCCGTCTGGTTAGCAGGCAAGTGTCTCAGCCACTATGCTACCAGACCTACCTTTGGATAGCAAACTGGAAATGGGTGGCGTCCCCCGGCTTGATTCCCAGCCAGGGCGCCTCATGCACAGCCACCATCCGTCATTGGAGGCTCGTGCGTTGCTATGATGCTGAACAGGTCGCAGTGGAGCTTGCCGACTGAGATGGACTAGGAAGAGAGGCCTGGCGAAACCCTGTGGGTCACAGCAGCTCAGTCTGCGGCCGACTGGGGGATGGCCTGGGGTTGGACAGGGTTTCCTTCTCTTGTGCATGTGGTCGCCATGAGTAAGGGGCTGACTGGGCGTTTGACAGCAGCTAACAAGGCCTGGCTGTTTCCTAGTCTTAGTATGGAACAAAAGAATTAGATGATGTGGATGTTGTATATTAAACGTGGGGGGGTAGAATGGCATGGTGAGAATACAGGGTGTGTGTTAATTCTGTGTCTTGGAGAACACTGAAAAATAAAACAATGCTGACTGCCATTTTCCTCTCTGCTTTCCCCCTGCATGACCCCAGGTGAAATTCGAGAACAGAATGGAGACAGTCTGGTACATGCTGCTCTCGTAGCAGAAAGTTCTGCCCTAGGAAGTGCAGAGGCGAATGCGTTCAGTGTGCTCCAGCATGTGCTCGGGGCCGGACCACACGTCAAGAGAGGCAGCAACACCACCAGCGCACTGTACCAGGCAGTCGCCAAGGGAGTTCACCAGCCATTTGACGTGAGTCCAAGCAGTTGATAGCTCTCCTTTTCTTTCCAAAGGCTCAGTATTTAAAAAGTAGTCTGATAAACTGCTCTTAAAATTTAAGATGAACACGAAATCCCTGTAAAATTGAAGAAACAAACTTGAATCCAGTACCTTAGTAGGTCTATCGTAGATTTATTATCTTTTCAGTTATTCTTGTCTGGAAGGAAAAAATGAATGCTTTGAAGTAAAACAATCAGAAATTCACACTTTAGTTTCCTTTAGGATGAGCTGTTAGATGTTGAACAGTCCCCTAGGTGGTAAATAAGGAGCGCTGGTGGTGTAGTGTTTAAGGTCAGTGGTTCAAACCCACCAGCCATGCCACAGAAGGAAGATGGGGTGGTCTGCTTCTATAAAGATTTACAGCCTTGAAAACCCATTGGGGGTCACCATGAGTCAGAATCAACTCCACAGTGTGTTTCGGTTTTTCTGGATGCTAATTAGTCTTTTTTTTTTTTAACTACATTTTCTGTTAAATCCTTCTGCTCCTCTGCCTGCTTCCTCAATTCCATTGTTATTCTTGTTTTCCAACCAAGTGTACAAGATACACACCAAGAAACTGCTTCACTGACCCACCCCTCCAGTTTGAGATTAAATTTAAAAAGAAAAAGGTAACATTTAACTTCATGAAAGTTCATGTTACTTTAGAAGACACCTTCTTTTTATTGACAATGAAAGGAAAGTGCTAAAGCTTTCAAATAATGATATTCAATAAATAATGATATTGGACCCTACATGCAGGGTCCAATGGAGCATAAGATGCCAACCAAAAAGGTATTCTTTAATGCGTGGCCATTGTTTGCCTGATACGGTAAACTACATGCCTTTAAATAGTATGCCTTTAAAAGGCAGCAAGTGTACTAAATTTTAGGATGAAGCATTGTTCATAACTTTAAGCAATGATGCAGGCACATGTAGGCTTATGCTTCCCAAAGGCTTTGGCCATTGGACACTTAACAGTGAAAATTAAAATCCACTTTCTGCTTTTTTTATTCCTGTGTCATACTCAAGTTGTAGCTTCCAGAGTCTTATTTTTTGTTTAGCACAGGAACCTTTGTTCCTATACAGTTTTCCAGCTCCAATGCACAACACAAAACTTTGAGCTTTTAAAAAGTTTTGAAGGCTTACTTAACTGAAACCCTCTGAATCTTCCTCATGGAGCCTTAGAGTTCCCTGCAACGCAATTCGAAAACTATTATCTTAAACCAAAACCAACCCCATTGTTATCTGTTCGATTCTAACTCATAGTGACCTATGAGGCAGGGTAAAACTGCCCCATAGGGTTTCCAAGGCTGTAATTGTTATGGAAACAGACTGCCACATCTTTCTCCCATGGAGCAGCTGGTGGGTTCGAACCACCAATCTTTAAATTGGCAGCCAAAAACTTAACCGTTGTGCCACCAGGGCTCCTTATCTTGAACTGGTCATAAATTTAGCTGCTGCATTTTCAATTTCCTATGGATTGTGTTTCTTTTGGCTCATAGTCTCCTCTGTTTTCTTTTTGCTTTATTCTTTACCAGTGAATGTTATGATGATTTTGTCTGGAGTTTAATCCTAATTCAGTGGCATAATTTAGTGGAAATTTCTAATTTAGAATTTGGCCAGAAATTTGGAGTGTGACTAGAAAAATCTCAGAATTATAATTCAGCTCCAAGCAACTGAAGTGTGTTTGTTCTGGTTATCTAGTGCCACTCTGACAAGAATATACCATAAATGGGATGGCCTTAACAAATAGGAGTTTATTCTCTTACAGTTCTGGAGGCTAGAAGTCCGAGTTCAAAGTGCCAGGCTCCAGGGGCTGTGTGAAAGTCCCTCGACCTTGGGCTTCAGCTCTGCCTCTTGCTCCCGGCCTTCTGAAGCTAGAGGCATCTCTTCACTCAAGCAGCTACTGGCTGCTAAGGCTAACAAGCCCAAGGTCAACAAATAATGGCACAGTCCAGATGTTACCAAACCACACACAGCAGGCCATTAACTCAAGTCCATTTTAGGTCCCAAGGGCAGCAAAGCATGGCAGGCTGCTGAACAATGAGATGGCTACATGCAGGGTCCAAGTGTACCATAAGCTAGAGACCATTCCCAAAGCTGTTTCTTATATATGGGAAGTAGACCTCATTCCCAAAGCAGCTACTCAGCTGCTCCAATAGATTCCATCATGGAGTTAATTACCAATCTCCTCTTAGGGAGTAACTACATTTAGCTGCCCAGCCACTCAACCAGGCCTAGCCAAGTTGACACACAAACTGAACTGCCACAGTATTCCTTTATTTCACCTGAGCTGAACCAGTGGTTCTCAAACATTAATGTGTATAAGAATCATCTAGAACACTTGTTAAAACAGTGAACGCTGAGGCTGCATCCCTAGGAATCTGAGTTAGTAAGTCTGAGGCAAAAACCTGAGTCTGTGTTTTGTATAACAACCCAGGTGGTCCTTATGCAAATGGTTCACATAAATACCATGAAACGCTGGGCTAGGCAATCAAGTTCACCTTCAGAAGCTTCAGACTCTGCTTAGACTACAGACAGCAATACCCATGTTAACCTCCAGGCTAACCTTCTTCCTACTTTAACACCTGATTAATGTCCACTTAACAAAAATGTTTCCATAATCCTTTGACTTCAGTCTTTACAAGAAGTGAATGAGAATTGATGAAAAAGTTACTACTAACAGCAGAGGAAAGAAACCAGGTCTGCTGATTGCCAAAGCCCTGTTTGCCAAAGAATAATACAGGTACAAAGTGACCTGTAGCACGTGGCCGTCCCACCTCTGCATTATAGTAATGTTTATAAATTAACGTTTGCAGTGAAGTGACCTTAAATCAGCAAAAGAAGAAATTCCCGGGAAAAAGGAAAGTGAACATCTATTTTAGAAATAGTTCAGTGAAAAAAACAGTTAAACAGTGAGTTCTGTAAAAAGGTAACCTGTCTAGAACAGGAGCTCTGGTGGTGTACTGGTTAAGGCATTTAGCTAATAACCAAAAGGTCAGTGGTTTGAACCCACCAGCCACTCCATGGAAGAAAGATGAGGCAATCTTCTTCCATAAAGATTTACAGCCTTGGAAGCCCAAAGTGGGGCACTATGAGTCAGAATCAACTCAGTGGCAATGAATGAGTTTGTCTACAGAACAGTGCCTTCATGGAATTGGTTAAATGAAGTATTTTTGCTCATACTGTAAGGGTACAAGTTTTCGTCTAGACAGTCTTAGGAAATTGTGTTTTGTTTTACCTGGTGGAGTAACATGCAGTAGTTACTATATTTTGTATTTCAGGTTTCTGCTTTGAATGCCAGTTACTCAGATTCCGGACTCTTTGGGATTTACACTATCTCACAGGCTTCAGCTGCAGGAGATGTAAGTTGAAAATTAAGCTACTCTCATTAACAAGTTTGTTTCTTTTAAAATGTTCATAGTTGAAACATGGACTGTTTGAATGCTGTGGTTTATCAGAGCTTTGTGTAGTAATAGCACGAGAGTGTATCTGCTATGGGAGAAACTTAAACATGTAGAGTGTTGCTTCCATGAGAGATGTGGAAAATGCCTCAGTATTTTGGTATTTTAGCAGGTGACATTGAGCTGGCGTTGGGATATCTAAATTGAGAACTCAGGAGAGGTGATGGCCGAGATGTGTATTCAGGAGTCATCTGTATAAAGGTTGTATTGACATACACAAGTTAAGATTATAGGTGAAGGAAATAAGTTAGAGTTCTGGGAAATACCACCATTTAAGGAGCAAGTGACTAAGGTGAGGGGCCAGGAAAAAAAGAAAAAGAGGCCATGTGTAACACCATTTCGATCCTCTAGAGATTACAGTTCCTTGACTTACCACGGGGAAGTTTGATGATTTGGGCACACTAGGACCTCAGTGGTGGTATAGCAGTTTTCACTAGAGTGGTGGAAGTGAGCTAAAATGTTCGGTAGTTAAGGAATCAATAGGGAGTAAGGATTGTGAGGTTTCGGTATAGCTTAGATGTGCACTAAGGAAGAAGGACAGTTTTAGGAGAGTTTACATTGAATGATTTAAGTTGGAATAGATGTTTGTACTGAAAAGGAAAAAAAGATTGATACAGATATGAGAGATGGGAAACCATAATTGGGTCAAGTCTGAAAAAGCAGGAGCAAGTGAGCCCCAGGGTGGAAGTGGACACGTTAGCCTTGGACACAAAAGCTAATGTTGGGACAAGAGGGTGTTGGGAAAATGAGGCAGTACCTGCCGGGTGCACTAGATTACATCATGCTTTGTGCTGTCAGTCAGGTAGGTCTGTTTTGTCATTTTTCTTCAATAGCATTCACTAGGTTAATGGAGAAATGAAGGAAGCAGGTAACGGGGTGAATCCCAGGTTGGAATCATGCAAGGTGGGAAGGTCAGAAATATACAGAGATAGCAAGAGAGTCAGGACACTGCCAAGAGTGATTAAAGGGATGATTCACAGGTCTAGGTTACATAGAGAAGTAAAGCCAGGGCACCTGAGAGATTGAGGGAAAGTGGTCAACTCAAGGAACAAAACACCTTGATGAAACTGAGGTATAAGGATGGAGATGAGAGATTAAGACTGGGTTCTTTTTTTTTGTTGTTGTTATTGTGATTTGGGTGAAGATTTACAGAGCAAATTCATTTTCCATATAGCAGTGTACATATACTTTGTCTCATGACATTGACCACAGTTTACCACAATGCAACAGCTCCCCTCCCACTTCCTCCCCATAGTTACCT